AGGATAAATACCAAGCTAAACAATCGAGGAATGAGGGGTAAAACATGTGTAAATATGTAGTCATCAAATTCCCCCACAGTTAACCGTTTGCCTGTCCCCAAGCAAACCTGGATCAAACCAATGCAACTCTCCAGACCTCTATAGAAACATGCACCCTCGATCGTCAGTAGAGGATTTCCTAGATCATTTAGCAGCTTGCGAGGTCAACCGACGCACAAGTCATCTCCTAGCTTATTCGGCGAGAATGCTAGTCTCGAGTCGGTATCATGGCAAATAGTGATTAGAGGACAAATGAATCATGGACGAAGGGACTCTCAAAAACAAAAGATCATGGACTCACATTTTTAAGGTGCTCTATTTTCTTCTTGAAGATGGTTGGAACCCTTTTTTTCCTTTTTTTTCTTTGTCTTTTTTTTTTCTCTCTCTTTTTTCAAGGGTTCCAACATGTTTTTTTTCCAGAAAACGGGGCTCCCACCTAGGAAAGATTTTGAGGGAGCCCGGCTCTTACCAACCATGTCGGGAGCGGATGTCTCGAGCCTCGTGCGGGGGAAAGAAATGTAAGGGGGCTGGAGGTAGTAGGTGGAAATTGGGAACGGATTCCCGTCTCCCCTTACACACTTTCGCCCTTTTCGCACGTGAGACGTTATTTTAAAGCACATTTTCGAGCACCTTTTACTTCAAAACATGATACAGGAGTCCATGACAGGTAGAGAGTCCACAATACCACACAATTCAAGGGTCCTAAGATCACTAATTCACACAATCAACCAACACATATGAAGAAGAAAGGAGACTTCTTAAATGCATCAACATCCTCCATAGTGCTACACTACCTCCCTAGGTTGCATATTACTATAAAGACTGTCAATTCAAAGCATACTGAGCAGGCAATTTGCAAGGAAACATGTACTTGAAGCCCTCAAATTTAAAAATTTGGACAGTGGACTAGGCCCCAAGCACACAAACAGCCAAACATTCACCCGCAGACATAATCGAACATCCCCCACACTTAAGCACGACATTGTCCTCAATGGAGGAAAGATAAGGAGGGTAGAACGAAGTTACCAGATCAAGGGTGAATGACGGTGGACGAGGAAGGCGGTGCATTCAAGGAGGAGAGAGTAGTCGAAACACAAACACCACACAAAATCTCACAAAGGTTGAGTGATTGACTTTAAAATCAAATAACAAAACTGACTCAACCGAGGAGGAAAAGAGAAAGAAATGCAAACCTACTGGTTGGGTTGCCTCTCAACAAGCGCTTCTTTCACGTCGTGAGTCAGACGATGGCTCCTAAGTTTCAGTCCACCCCAAAATCTCTTTGAAGTTGAGGTTCTCGTCAATGAGGTGGAGCCTTAAGTCACGAGCATGTGGCATGACAGGTGATGGAAGCTCGTGCACTTGATGAAGATGAAGTCTCCACCCTCGAGACCTCCTCTTCTCTTCTCTCGTCTCATTTCCCCAAACTAGATATGACAACATCGATTGACCACCATCGCATCCACCAAGGGGGACCGATGTCGATGTGGCCTTGGTCTGGCAGAGAGACACTGCAAATGGGTCCTTGTTAAGCAATTCCTCGAAGTTTGGTGGGGATATCACATGTAACTCATGGCTGGTGCAGGCCTCTTCCACCTCAACTCTGTCCTCAGCGTGGACGCCAATTGCTTCTTCAACCTCCCTTCCTTCTTCATGTGGTATCACCCCTGGGAAATGATCAAGAACTCCTTCTGCTTCACTTTCGTCATCCTCCACAACTTCTTTTTGCACCCTTTCTTGCTCTTCTTCTTCCATCACGGATTGGATGGCAAGTCGCCAAGCAATTTCTTTGATGAGATCTTCTTGCATCTCCTCACTCATGCCCGCCTCTTCAAAGCTTAGTGTGGGATGTGGGAACGTGTGGTCGGCTACGACAGGAAATTCCTGATCATGATCATCACGGGAACTCTCCGTGACAACTCCTGTGTGCTCCACACTGTTTTCGTAGCCTTCTTCTTCCTCCTCCTCTTCTTGTATAGTAGTAGAAGGGTGATCTTGAGCAGGCTGTGTGACACGCCAAAACCCAACACCAAACTGCTACCAAGTATAATCGCAGTCCGGGAATGCAGTAAAATGGCAAGTTCTATTATCAACCCGGGGTCTAGATCTATTGCTTACTCCGTGAGTATCTATTATCTAGCCAACTAAGTTAAGTGTTTGTTGTTTAAAGCAAAAGCAGAAAGAAAGCAGGAATTGGTACGTTTTTCTCAAGCAAAGAAGAGTCACTTGGGAATGAGTCCCACTAGCTCCTTAGTTAGGTTTCAATTGTAATTTTCCTGGATTGATTTACTGTTGATTAGACTGCGGAAGATCCGACAGTATCTTGGAATCTCTTAAGCTGACCAAGTCCTCTCAGTCTATCTACCCGGCAGACGACTAGTCTTCACCGGGATAGAAAGCTGAAGCAATAAGCACAGAACTCCACTACTGGAATTGGATTCCAGTACAAAGCAGTAAACTGGCTAACTCTCGTATAGCCAATCTCCTACTACCGAATGATGAGGCTCTAACAACCTAATCAGATTCTATCTATCTCAGGTTGCAGCAGAAATCAGGAAAAGCTGATCAGACTTCAATTGACTCAATAAACATGCATCATTCGATTAAAACCAAGCAGTAATATCATCCCAAGTCATTACAATCAAATCCCTAACACATAGAACTAGGGTTCTTCATACCCAAGTGAGAGAAGGGTTCTACTCCATAGAGAGAGAGAGGGAAACAGAATACAGAGTAGTCATACTCATAAAGATGAGGAAAATCTGCTCTGGGATGATGATTTCCACTCCTATGACGATCTCCAAGCTTGATTTGATGAAACCCCGCTCCAAGATAGCTTCTAGGATTTGGTCTTCGTACTTTCTCTCTCTAGGGCTCTGTTTTTGCTCTGAAAACTCCATTCCCTCACTTGCAGCCCGAAATTGGGAAAAAACCAGAAATTCCCGACTCACACGGCAGGCTCACACGACCGTGTGGCATACCCAGTTGCCCGTGTGAGGTCGTCAAAACGCCGCGTTCCGAGTAATTGGATTTCAGGCTTCCTACACGGCCAGGGTCACACGGCCGTGTAGCTCACCCAGCCTGGCCGTGTGAAGCCTCGCAGAATTCCACACGGCCAAACTGCACCTTCACACCGCCGTGTGGGAATTAATTGTACCCGTGTGAGCTCTCGCACAATCCCACACGGCCTCCTTGGACACTTGCACGGCCGTGCGAGTTGTGTGTGTGCCCGTGTGGCTTCCTTTTTGACTTGCCTCACGCCCGATCTTCGTCCAATCGACCCCGAACTCGCTCCTAAACCTTCATTCACTTGCTAGGACCTGAAATATCACAAACAAACACAACCTAGCCTGAAATTGGCCTAAAACACGAGAATTAACACCTCAAAAGGCTCCAGAATAGGGGTAAAAACATGTGCAATTAACGGCTTATCAAACTCCCCCACACTTAACCGTTTGCTTGTCCCTAAGCAAACCAAGTCAGTCACAAGGTAAGCTCACATATTTCAACCATACCATCATTGGGGACAAATCATATAGGCACAGAAACACGTGAATCATACTGGCTTTCAAACATCAACACATTAACAACCTCAATAGCAACCTGGACAACCACCACAGAAAACATTCGAGTGCAGCAAAATCGAGTAAATGAGGAGTCTCCCTTCTGTTCATCAACCAACATAGACTTGACTCAATCACTCACTCAAGACAATCAACTCATGCATAAAACTCAAGACATCAGAATCAAGACCGAGCCATCTAGGTCCTCACCGGGTAAAGAGTGTAAAGAACAAGGAAATGAATCGCTCACTCTCGACCAGTGGGGTCAGGACAATTTGATGCGAATAATGCGCATACTAATTCTCTCAATTCCTAACATCTCTTCACCATGACGGCAGCCTCTAAAGGTTAGAGTTCACATAAATGGTTGTCATCACTAACTAATCAGGAGGTCTTAGACACAGGTTCAAATGACTGGCTAGGGTCTTGGACATGGGGAAAAGGCCTTTTAGGTGGTGGAAGTATTCATAGCACAAGGTTCCGCAATTCCAAACCGAACAAACTCACAGTCAATCAAACCAGTACTTTCTTTCAGCTATTCTGCATTACTCAAATTCTTCAGAGAACAAGAGCGAAGGAGGTCACATGAATACCAGTATTTCTAAGCCAGACTGCTAAGAAACACTACTTAATGGGCACTATTCAGATTCTTGGTGGTGGCTCTCTTTTGCTTTCATTTTTTCTTTGTTTTTCTTTCATTTGTTTTTATTTCTTAAGAGAACCACCACCTCTGCAAATTTTCAAACACCTGCCCACTTATTAAGAACTACCTCCAACTCTCACATTACATTTAGCAGAGACAGCAGAGAACATGTAAAAATCACTCTGTGGAACCTTCTAGAAGATGCAAAAGGGTGACTTTTCATTGAAGACCGAAAGAAAGGATAACACATGGCTCAAAGGGGCTGACTAGGGGGTATGACACACCAGGACAGTCAATTTGGTCGTGGGCTAATCCTATGCCTCCATCATCTTGGCTAATGACAACGTGAATGCTACACATCATGGAAGAGGGAACTAACGCACAAGAAAGAAACGAGCAGGCTCAAATCTCACATGGCTACCTATATGCTCTATCTCTCATTCTGATTCCCTGAACTAGATTCATAAGAGACTTTCAAGAACAAGTAATCAATCCAAGTCACAGTTGGTAAGCAAACAGTTGAAAAACTGAACACTACACAATTCTACTGCACGTCTCAGTCATCATTATAGGTTGTCCTAGTCACCATCCAGTTGTCATGCATGAATCCAAAAACCATTCAATTCACCAATCAGAACACAGTGCCAATATGATCAAACAGTCGTACTTGGAGCCCTCAAATCTCGAGATTTGGACAGTGGACTAGACTCCAAGCACACGTATATAAATTCCAACCGATACAAAGCACCATCAAACTCCCCCACACTTAAGCACGACATTTCCCTTAATGGAGCAGAGGGATAGAGAAGGGGAACGATGTTACCGGATCGAAATGCTGTGGGAGACTGGAAGTGGACCAGTCAGCGTGGGACATATGGAACGAGCGGACAGTTCTGCACTAAGGGAACATGAAGAACACACTAGCACATGTTCCTTAGGGATAAGAGTTGGCCCAGATGGCCACAAAAGAAACAATCCACAAAAGAAAAGAAACACAACACACGACAAACTCAGATCAAGCTCCTCAAACACATGGAGCAAACAGAAAAGTCTAAATAAAAAACATACACTGAGGGGCGACAAGTACAGCCTACTCGTCGCCAAGGTTGTCCAGATCAATGTCATTCATAAATGCATCATCATCATCAGCTGGTGGAGGTGAAAGTGGAGAGTCCTCCCAGGGAGTCCTCTAGACTGGCTGCTCGACCGGTAGTAGCTGGAGCAGATGCCTCTGGACCTCCTGCATGCGCCTAGCTCGGGCCTACTCCCTCTCGATGCGCGCCAATGCCACCCCCTGCTGGGTCTCCATCCTATCAAGGCGCTCATCATACGCAGCCATCCGGGTCTGGTACTCGGCATGGTGAGCCGAATACTGCTGCTGAAACTGCATCTGATAGTCGTAGAGCTGCTGATTCTGGAGACGCAGCTGCTCGAACTGCTGAGTGAAGTAGTCCTGTCCGGGGAAGGTGGACCTGCCACCCCCATACTAGAAGGTGGTGGGGCGGGCGGCAGCAGTATCATCCACATCCTCGGGATGGACCTCCTCATCAGCCGCACCCTCGGGAACCTCCGTCAGGACCTCCTCTGGGATCTGAGGTTGAGGAAACCCCTTGATCCACATAACACCCCGCACTTCTCAAAGCAGGTGCATTTTACTGATCGTAAACCGGCCAAAGGCACTGGTGTCTCCCTGCTCTGTGCACCCCTGCAGGGGTATCTGGAAGTAGTCTTCCAGGTGGGTGATGAGGGGAGTGCAGTGGAGTTTCTTCAGCTCAGAAGCACTCTTGTCGAAGGTCCTCGCCACCACCGAGCCCAAGTGGAGGGGATGATCCCTCTGGCGCATAGACTGGATGAAGTACATCACTCTCTTGGTGATGGCGCTGGCACTGTCTGAGGCAGGAGTGTAAGACTTGGCCAGCATGTGATGGAGGATGCGGTTGTCGAGCTGCAATGTGCTGGCCTTCGCCTTCCCCGCCTTTAAGGGAAGCTGACCCGGCCGAGCGAGGCGGTGGTACAGTGTCCCGAAGTCCACCCCCGCTGGCGCGGTGCTCTAGGTGATGTAGTCCCTGTCATCGACCAGGTTGAGGCCGAGGGCATTCGCCAGCTGGTTGTAGCTCATGGATCGTGGTTCACCGCCGAGCTGGAACTTGACGGCTTCACCATCCTTCCAATCCTCTGTGTCTGCGTGCTCGAAGGTATTGTAGAACTCGAGCACGAGCTCGTGGTACACCTTCTCGCGAATGCTAAGTAGGCGGCGCCAGTAGCGGTTGGTGACAACGGGGGAAAGGTGCTCGTAGCAGTTCAGCTTCTCCAACTCTTGCTTGGACCAGCAATGATGCTGCCCAAACTTGCAGGCCAGGACGTTCTTAAAACGATCCTGGTGGGGACCCCTTCTGAAATCATGAACAAACTGGTGACGGAGGTTGGGCTTCGTCATGGTCCTGCAAAAGAACAACCCAAAGTGGAACCAAAAGAGCCAAGGAAAATGTTAATCACACCCCCACACTTAAGAACAGAAAACAGCCGAACCATGGTTTCATCCATGGTTCGGGGGTCAAAAACTTGATCAAACAAGCAGAATCGGGGTGGGGGTGCACATCCATGGGAAAATAGGCAACTCAAGGTTCACATCCATACCAAACACACTCTCAAATCACAGCATTAAGGGCTCCAACCGACTCCCACAAAATGGTACGAAAACAGGCATTTTATCGAACACCTTGTGTGCACTATTAAGATAAACATGGAATTGACAAAATTCTTGCACACAAGGGCTCAATCAAGCAAGGGTGACAATGCCCAACACAATTCATACATAATCCAAGCTTTCCCCTCAATCAATTGCACACAATTCACATTATTCAAAGAGGTTCTCTAAACATGCACCCTAACACCCAATTCTCCATAAAAAACATAGTTAAGGTCAAAATCAAACCTGGAGACTCAAGTAGAGGTGTAGGGGATGATGAGGGGAATGCAATGGAAGCAACGAAAGGCCGAAAAACTGCCCGGAAGTGCTCGTCGGAGTCTCGCCGGAAATCGTCTCCAGCGACTCAAAATTAAACCAAATCACCTCAAAATCGAGGGATAGGCTGATAATGGGGAGGAAAGGGTGGGTGTGGTGTTGGATTTGTGAAAAACCGACCAAAAATGGCCGAAAATCGACAAATATGGCGAAAAGGTGCGGTTTTCTGGCGAGGGGGAGAGGTTTCCGGCGAGTGAATTTGGGTTTTCTGACCACTCGGCCGTGTCGGCCGAATTTATAGGCCGTGCAGACTCACACAGCCATGTGAGGTGCACTTTTGCCCGTGTCGGCCGACACGGGCTGGCCGATGATTTTCCACATGGCCGTGCGAAAGCACATTTGGCCGTGTGAAATTGTGCGAGAGCTCACACGGCCAAGGGGAATTTCCACACGGCCGTGCCACTATCACAGCTAGCCGTGTGAAATTGTGCGAGAGCTCACATGGCAAAACTTAAATCCACACGGCCGTGTGACATTCAGGGCTGGCCGTGTGGGCTGCCAGAACTCTGAAATTGACCTGTTTTCACTCCAGAACGACATATAACTCGTGAACAACCCCTCAAGACTCAAAAAACACAAAAAATCAAAAGGTAAAAGGTAAGAAAATGCAAACCTAGGTGGGGTTGCCTCCCCACAAGTGCTTCTTTACCGTCTTTTAGCTGGACGCCAGTAGAGGAACTAATGGTCCTCGAGCTTGATCAGCAGCTCTGCGCGCTCGACAACACCTCCCAAGTACAACTTTAGGAGTTGGCCATTCACCTTGAATGGCTCAGTTTGAGCATTGATGATCTCCACCGCACCGTGCGGGAAAACTTGGGTGACCGTGAAGGTTCCCGACCACCTCGAACGGAGCTTACCCGGGAAGAGTTTCAGGCGTGCATTGAAGAGCAGAACACGATCACCTACCTGAAACTCTTTCGGGCCCCTCAACCGAGCGTCATGGAGACGCTTGGTGCGCTCCTTGTAGAGGAGTGTGTTCTCGTAGGCGTGGTAACGCCACTCCTCCAACTCCAGCAGCTGCAACTTATGTTATGTACCTGCAACACTCAAATCCAGGTTTAGCAGCTTAATGGCCCAGAAGGCCTTGTGCTCTAGCTCTACCGGCAAATGGCACGCCTTCCCATAGACAAGCCTATAGGGAGAAGTGCCAATCGGATTTTTATAGGCAGTCCTATACGCCCAAAGAGCATCATCGAGCTTGGTGGACCAATCCTTGCGGGACTGATCCACCGTCTTTTCAATTATTCGTTTTAGCTCCCGGTTCGTCAGCTCGGCCTGCCCATTTTACTGGGGATGGTAGGCCACTGACACCTGATGCTTAACGCCATAACGAGAGAGGAGTTTAGTGAATTGCCCCTGAAAATGGGTTCCTCTATCGCTAATAATGGCGCGAGGTGTCCCGAACCGGGAGAACAGCTGCTTCAGAAATGAGCAGACCCATCTTGCATCATTGGTGGGCATGGCTTGAGCTTCTGCCCACCTCGAGACGTAGTCCACTGCAACCAATATGTACAGATTGCCAAAAGATGGAGGGAATGGGCCAATGAAATCGATACCCCAAACATCGAAAATTTCACAAATAACAGAGATATGTTGGGGCATCTCATCCCGGGAAGAAATGTTACCTGACCTTTGGCAGCGGCGCACTGGCGTGCGAAGGAGTCTGCATCCTTGAAGAGCGATGGCCAATAGAAGCCCGACTATAGCACCTTCCGCGCCGTGCGGTTTCCTCCATGGTGACCTCCAGTAGGTCCCTCGTGGCATTGAGACAGGATGTCTCCCATCTCGTGCTCCATGACACAGCGCCGGATCACGCCGTCTGCTCCAATTCTGAAGAGGTAAGGATCCTCCCAGAAGTAATGCTTCAGATCGGAGAAGAACTATCGCTTTGCATGAGTAGCCATCCCCTTGGGTAACTGCTTGCCCACCAGATAATTGGCAAAGTCAGAATACCAAGGGGCCACGCTGTCCACCAGTGTAATCGCCAGCAATCGCTCACCCGGGAAGGAGTCATCGATCTCTTCCACGAAGTTTTCCACCGGAGGGGCTTCCAACCGTGAAAGATGGTCTGCAGCAACATTCTCGGCTCCTTTCTTGTCCCGGATTTCTATGTCGAATTCCTGCAGAAGCAGGATCTAGTGGATGAGCCGAGGCTTTGCATCAGCCTTGCTCATCAAGTAGCGAATCGCCGAGTGATCTGTGTAGACCACCACATGGGAGAGCACCAGATATGGCCGGAACTTGTAAAATGCATACACCACAGCGAGGAGCTCCTTCTCAGTGGTGGTGTAGTTCTCCTGTGCATCGTTCAAGGTCTTTGACGCGTAGTAGATGGGCTGGAAGTGCTTCTCGCGCCTCTGACCCAGATTTGCTCCGACTGCATAGTCACTCGCATCGCACATCATCTCAAAAGGGAGAGACCAGTCAGGAGTTACCATGAAAGGTACATGGGTCAGCTTCTCCTTCAGAGTCTCAAATGCAGCTGTGCACTCGGGAGTGAACTGGAATGGTGCATCCTTCTCCAGCAGCTTGGTCAAAGGCAGGGCAATCTTCGAGAAATCTTTAATGAAGCGCCGGTAGAAGCCTGCATGACAGAGAAAGCTGCGAATCCCCTTCACAGAAACGGGAGGAGGTAGCCTACTGATCATCTCAATCTTCGCGCGATCCACCTCAATCCCCTGCTTGGAGATCTTGTGCTCGAGCACAATCCCTTCACGGACCATAAAATGGCACTTCTCCGAGCTGAGTGCCAGATTAGTCTCTTCACACCTCTTCAGAACGAGTTCCAGGTTATGGAGACAATGAGAGAAGGAGTCTCCATAAACCGAGAAGTCATCCATGATCTCCCAGACCAGTCGGTCGAAGATCGCCATCATGCATCTCTGGAAGGTCGCCGGTGCATTACACAGCCCGAATGGAATCCTCCGGTAAGCAAAAGTGCCGAAGGGGCAAGTGAATGTGGTCTTTGCCTGATCCTCTGGTGCAATAGGAATCTGGAAATAACCAGACATGCCAGCCAGGAAGCAATAGAACTCATGACCAGCCAACCTCTCCAGCATTTGATCAATGAAAGGTAGGGAAAAATGATCCTTCCTGGTGGCGTCGTTCAGGCGCCGGTAATCGATGCAGACTCTCCAGCCGGTCACGATCCGCATCGGGATCAGCTCTTTCTTCTCATTCGGGATCACAGTCATCCCGCCTTTCTTCGGGACCACCTGAGTGGGACTGACCCACTTGCTATCAGATATAGCAAAGATGATCCCTGCATCCATGAGCTTCACAATCTCTTTCCGGACCACCGCCTCCAAGTTAGGAGACAATCTCCTCTGCGGCTGCCTGACTGGCTTAACCTCATCCTCCATCAGAATTCTGTGGGAGCAGAAGGATGGGCTAATGCCTCTTATATCAGTGATATTCCATGCCATGGCTCGGGCATACTTCTCCAGCAGAGCCACCAGCCTGCTCTTCTGCTCGGGTGTCAGATCCGAGCTAATAATGACCGGGAGCTTATTCCCCTCCCGGAGAAATGCATACTCCAGGTGAGAGGGGAGGGGCTTAAGCTCCAGCTCTGGTGGCTCCTCCAATGATGTAGCGATCCGGGGCGAGATAGGGATCGGCTTGAATGGTATCTCTCGCCCCTCTATCATGGCCTCGTCTAGCTCCGCGAGCTGCTCCTCCGGCTGCATGTCCTGTGATGGCTGTTCCCCTAGCAAAAGACAACGCTAAAGGAAATCGTCAGTACCCGCACTCGTGATGGCGAGTGCGGTCTCAAAATCAGCAACAACATCACAGTAATCTAGATCATCATGGAGCTGGGGGTGTTTCATATTATCAGAAACAGAGAAGGTGATTTGTTCACCCCCAGCTCGCAAAATCAGTTTTCCATCATTCACATCAATGAGCGCCTTGGCGGTGGCGAGAAAAGGTCTACCCAATATCAATGGCACATCCACATCCTCATTTATGTCCAAAATCACAAAATCAACAGGATAAGAGAATGGCCCTACTGCGACTATCAAGTCCTCCGCAATGCCCCTAGGATGCACAATAGATCTATCAGCAAGTTGAATGCTCATCCTAGTATCACTGGGATCACCTAGGCCTAGCTTTTTAAACAGTTTATATGGCATGACATTTATGCTAGCACCTAAATCCGCCAAGGACTTCCCTATATGCAAACTACCAATCATGCAAGGGGTAGTGAAACTCCCTGGGTCTTTCCGCTTCTCTGGTAGTTTGTTCTGCAGGATGGCAGAACACTCCTCGTTGAGCATCACCGTTGACAGCTCCCCAAGCTTCCTCTTGTTGGTGAGGAGATCTTTCATGAACTTGGCATACTTGGGCATCTTCAATAATGCCTCCACGAAGGGCATGCTTATATTCACCTGCTTCAGCATTGCCATGAACTTGGCAAACTCACTCTCCAATCGGTCCTTGTGCAACCGAGTAGGAAAGGGGAGCTGGGGTACATACTCCTTCACCACTGGTTGCGGTTTAGGAGCAGGCACCTCAACCTCCTTCTCCATTTCATCTTCATTAGTTGGAACTGCTGAAGCAGGGGTCTCTCTCTCTTCTACCCGAACAGGTGGATCGGCAGTCACCTTGCCACTCCTGGTGGTAATGGCCCCGTAGTGCTCATTCGGGTTCTGCGGATGAGGAATGGTCTGACCAAGTAGAGTACCAGGAGGCCTCGTAGCTACAGCCTGGGCAACACTCCCAGTCTGGATATCCCGAAGAACAGCCTGCGTGTTTCTCTTACCAGCTTCTAGCTCCATGAATTTGCCGGAAGCTTTCTCCATGAACTGCTCGATGTTATTGAACTTGTTTGCACTAGAGGTGGCCAGAGAACCCACCAGATCTCGCAGTTCTGCCATCGGGTCACTCTGAGCTGGGGCTGCAGGTGCCGCCCCTGTCTGCTGAAATGGCCACACCTGTGACTAAGGTGGAACTGGCCCCTCTCTGGGCGGGTAGAGTGGCTGCTGGGGCTGCTGAAATTGCCCTTGTCTGGGCTGGTAAGGAGGTCTCTGGAAGCCAGGTGGTCCCTAGGGAACTGGTGGTCTGGAATTTTCCCCACCCTATGAGAAGTTGGGATGCTGGCGCCACCCCTCGTTATAAGTGTTGCTGTAGGGGTCGAAGCGCCTGGCATTACTGATGAAGTTCACCTGCTCCTGGGGAGTAGACGACTCCCTCATCGCCTGACAGTCCTCCACGGTGTGATGGGAGCTCTCACACCACTGGCAGTGCATCGCCTGCGGCTGTCCTGTACTTGTAATCAATCCAGAGCGATCTATGGCTGAAACCAGCTTCGATACCACCTGCACCAAATCAGATGACTAGGTGGCGACAGCATGCACACCCCTCCCTGGTGCACTCCTCGATCTCCTGGAAGTGCCCCAATCATATCCCTGCTCTGCCATCTCTTCAAAAATTTTATTCAACTGTGGCGGCGTTTTGGTGAGCATATTCCCGCCACAGATCGAGTCAATCAGCTGCTTGTCCTCCGGGAAGAGAGCATGATAGAAGGTTCCCACCTTGAAGGCATCAGTAAAACCATGGTTGGGACACTTGAGGAAGAGACTGGTGTATCTCTCCCAAGCATCCCTAATGGTCTCATCCTCATCCTGAGCAAAATGGGTAATTTGCTTCTGCAGGTCCGCCGTCTTGGATGGAGGATGGTAGCGGGTGAGAAACTTGTCCGCCAGGTTGGCGAACGTGGTGATGGAGCCCGGAGGTCGAGTGTCTAGCCACTCCTTGGCCTGCCCCTCCAGGGTGAATGGGAAGTACGTCAACTGGATGGCATCTGCTGGAACCCCATTAATCTTGATTCCATCAATGAGCTCGTGGAATCGCATGAGATGTGATCGGGGGCACTCCCCCTCTTTCCCTCGGAACACCACTGAACTGCGCAGCATGGTGATTACTGAGGTGCTCACCTCAAAATTATTGGCTGGGACATGAGGGTGTTGAATGGGTGACCTCATGTCTGCAGCCCTGGAGGTCCAATAATGTCCCATGGTCTGCACCCCAGGATTGACCACATCATGGTCCTGTGGATCAGCCATCTCCTCTTCGTCAGTGATCTGTAGCTGTGCTAGCGCCTCCTCCGCAGCCAGTCGCGCCTTTAGAGCCCGCTTGAAGTTTCTGCAGGTTCGTTCAAGCTCCTGGTCTAGTGGTAGTAGATCTCCCGACTGGCTACGGGTCATGCACTACCTGCACACAATCAGCAGAAGCAACCCGTAAAGGCACACAGGTGGAAAAGATAAAATGCAGTAAAGAAATAGCTAGAGTAACAGATTTGCACGTTTCCCCAATAACCTAGAGGGTCCCCGGCAACGGCGCCAAAAACATGACACGCCAAAACACAACACCAAACTGCGACCAAGTATAATCGCAGTCCGGGAATGCAGCAAAATAGCAAGTTCTATTATCAACCCGGGGTCTAGATCTACTGCTTACTCCGTGAGTATCTATTATCTAGCCAACTAAGTTAAGTGTTTGTTGTTTAAAGCAAAAGTAGAAAGAAAGCAGGAATTGGTACGTTTTTCTCAAGCAAAGAAGAGTCACTCCGGAATGAGTCCCCCTAGCTCCTTAGTTAGGTTTCAATTGTAATTTCCCTGGGTTGATTTACTGTTGATTAGACTGCGGAAGATCCGACAGTAGCTTGGAATCTCTTAAGCTGACCAAGCCCTCTCAGTCTAACTACCCGGCAAACGACTAGTCTTCACCGGGATAGAAAGCTGAAGCAGTAAGAACAGAACTCCACTACTGGAATTGAATTCCAGTACAAAGCAGTAAACTGGCTAACTCACGTATAGCCAATCTCCTACTACCAAATGATGAGGCTCTAACAAACTAATCAGATTCTATCTATCTCATGTTGCAGCAGAAATCAGGAAAAGCTGATCAGACTTCAATTGACTCAATAAACATGCATCATTCGATTAAAACCAAGCAGTAATATCATCCCAAGTCATTACAATCAAATCCCTAACACATAGAACTAGGGTTCTTCATACCCAAGTGAGAGAAGGGTTCTACTCCATAGAGAGAGAGAGAGAGAGAGGAAAACAGAATACAGAGTAGTCATACTCATAAAGATGAGGAAAATCTGCTCTGGGATGATGATTTCCACTCCTATGACGATCTCCAAGCTTGATTTGATGAAACCCAGCTCCAAGATAGCTTCTAGGATGTGTTCTTCGTACTTTCTCACTCTAGGGCTCTGTTTTTGCTCTGAAAACTCGATTCTCCCACTTTCAGCCCGAAATTGGGTAAAAACCAGAAATTCCCGACTCACACGGGCAGGGCCACACGGCCGTGTGGCATACCCAGTTGCCCGTGTGAGGTCAAAACGCCGCGTTCCGAGTAATTGGATTTCAGGCTTCCTACACGGTCAGGGTCACACGGCCGTGTAGCTCACCCAGCCTGGCCGTGTGAAGCCTCGCAGAATTCCACACAGCCAAACTACACCTTCACACGGCCGTGTGGGAATTAATTGTGCCCGTGTGAGCTCTCGCACAATCCCACACGGCCTCCTTGGACACTTGCACGGCCGTGCGAGTTGTGTGTGTGCCCGTGTGTCTTCCTTTTTGACTTGCCTCGCGCCCGATCATCGTCCAATCGACCCCGAACTCGCTCCTAAACCTTCATTCACTTGCTAGGACCTGAAATATCACAAACAAACACAACCTAGCGTGAAATCGGCCTAAAACACGAGAATTAACACCTCAAACGGCTCCAGAATAGGAATAAAAACATGTGCAATTAACGGCTTATCACTGTGCATAAGATTTCTCAATATCATCGAGGCACTTCTTAATGCTCAGGAGGATCTCCTCTGTTTCACGATAGGCCTGGGTACAAAGATCCATCCTGGAGCATGATCTCTCACTGTCTCGAGCAAAATGCTCCATGAGAAGCCTCAATTCATAGTTTGGATCTGGCTGTGGAGTGTAGCATGGCTCTGGAGAATGGCCCGTGAAGGTCGCCATGGGTAACTCCAGCTCCGATGGCCCTTCTGGTTGTGGGAGAAATTCTTCTTGATAATGAGGTTGTTCTTGATATGCCCAGGGGGTCGGATTGTTCACCGTAGTAAGGGGGTTGGTACTGGAACACGAATCCATAGTCTTATCCTCCTTGATTGCTCCAGGGAGTCTCGGGGTAATACCATTCGGATGGTGGTGGATACACCCAATGGTGCCATGAGGATCCATGATTCAGATCTGCACCAACAAAAACAAAAACACCCAAGTAAAAAGCAAGGGTGGAAAAGAAAAGAAAACGCTAAAATAACAAACTTCTGCCTTTCCTAATAATCTAGAAAGTCCCTGGCAACGACGCCAAAAACTTAACACGCTACGACACAACACCTAACAATGGCCAAGTGTAACCAATGAAAGGGACTGCAGTATAGTGGTGCAAGTAATAAATATCGAATCCTCGGGTCTCTAGATGTACTATTACTCAGCTTTAGTTCATTATCTAGCAAATCATATTAAGGATTGATTAACTAAACTACCCTACTAACTAAACTAAGTAAAACTACTAATTACAGTTCAGGAACTCACTTAGGTATGATTCCCCCTATCTCCTCAATTAGGTCCAAGTTGTAATTCCTTTTGGTTGTTTACTGTTGATTAAACTGCGAAAGATCCTAAATTAGCTTAGAATCTCTTAAGGTAACCAAGCCCTCTTAGACAGAATACCCGGCAGGCGACTAGCCTTCACCGGGATAGACTGCTAAGGCGATTCACACATATATCCACTACTGGAATGAATTCCAGTACAAAGCAGTGAATTGACTGACTCTCGCACAACCAATTCACTACTATCAATCAAGGAAGCTCTCTTAACCTAATCAGATTCTATCTATCAAAGGTTAAAGCAAAAATTAAGAGAATTTGATCAGGATTCAATTGACTCAATAAATCATGCCTCAATTGATTATAATCACACAATATAGCATCCAAAACTTCATACAAGAAAGATCCTAACATATGGAACTAGGGTTCCTCAAAACCTAAGTTAAGGGAAGTTACTTCATAGAGAAGAGAGAGACTGCAGAAATCTGATCTAGATCTTCAATCTCCATCTCCAAGCTTGATTCTCGAGCTCCAATGGTGAATAAATCCTCCAAAATAGCTCCAAGAATGGCTCTAGATCACCCTCTCTCTCTTTAGTTCGTCCCTTGGGTGTTTGGGATCCAATACCCAGTTCCTCCTCTCCAAAAATCGCAAAACAGGTTTTATACCCGCAGAAACTCGCTCCCCTCACTTGCACGGCCGTGCAAATTGAGGTTTTGGCCGTGAAAACCCCCTGGGAAACCCACACGTCCGTGCAGAATTTCACACGGCCGTGCACAATTTCCAGCATGCACTCCTAAGCTTCGTTGATCTCGTTTGAGCTCGTTTGACCTTCGATTCAGGTGTCGTTTGATCCCTGATGCTCGTAGTCTTGTCCTCTTTCTTTTAATGACAAGATTTCATGATTCTTTGTCAATAAAATGAGGTAGAAATCCATTATTTCTCAATTCATTCCCGAGTTTCTCACCCCGAGTCGCCAATTGATCTCTGATTGACTTGAAACTTGCGCCTAGGCTTCACTTTACATGCTAGGACCTGAAATGTGACAAAGGAACACAACCTAGCATAAAATAGGCCAAAGTAGGATAAACACCAAGCTAAACAATCAAGGAATGGGGGGTAAAACATGTGTAAATATGTAGTCATCATCATCCCCTTAGGCAGCTGCTGGCCTACCAGATAATTCACAAAACCGGAGTACCAAGGGGTGACACGCTCCACCAGGCACATCATCAACAGTCTCTCATCTGGGAAAGAGTCATTGATCTCCTCCCCGAGGTTGTCCTCAGGTGGTGCATCCAACCGGGAGAGGTGATCAGCAGCAACATTTTCAGCTCCCTTCTTGTCCCGAATCTCGATGTCAAACTCCTGCAATAGTAAGATCCATCGTATGAGCCTCGGCTTGGCATCGTCCTTGCTGACCAGGTATCGAATCGCGGAGTGATCTGTGTACACGGTCACATGGGACAAGACCAGATAAGGGCGAAACTTTTCCAAGGCGAACACCACCGCGAGCAGCTCTTTCTCCGTGGTGGTGTAGTTCTCCTGTGCATTATTTAGGGTCTTCGAGGCGTAGTAGATAGGTTGGAAGTGTTGATCTCGCCTCTACCCCAAGACAGCTTCAACAGCAAAGTCACTGGCATCGCACATCAGCTCAAATGGTAGGGACCAATCATGAACGACCATGATAGGAGCATGGGTGAGCTTCTCCTTCAAGGTCGTGAATGTCGTTGTGCATGCATCAGTGAACTGGAAGGGGACATCCTTCTCGAGGAGCTTGGTCAAGGGCAAGGCGATCTTCGAAAAATCCTTGATGAACCTCCTGTAGAACCCTACATGGCCTAGAAAACTCTAGATCCCATTGACAGATGTGGGAGGAGGCAGCTGACTGATGGTCTCGATCTTTGCTCTGTCCACCTCAATCCCCATCTTGGAGATCTTATGCCCCAGAACTATGTCTTCGCGAACCATGAAGTGGCACTTCTCCCAACTCAGTGCCAGGTTCGTCTCCTTACACCGTTTAAGGACGAGTTCCAGGTTATGGAGACAGTGAGAGAATGAGTCTCCATAAACCGAAAAATTCATCCATAAACACCTCCATAATCTTGTCGACCAGGCGGTCAAAGATGGCGAGCATGCATCGCTGAAAAGTGGCAGGGGCATTGCATAACCCGAATGGGATCCTCCGGTAGGCAAATCTGTCGAAGGGGTAGGTGAAAGTGGTCTTCGCCTGGTCCTCCAGTGCAATAGGGATCTGGAAATACCTGGACATCCCATCCAGGAAGCAGTAGAACTCGTGCCCCGCCAGTCTCTCCGGCATCTGATCAATGAATGGCAGCGGGAAGTGGTCCTTCCGAGTGGCATCGTTGAGATGCCAGTAATCGATGCAGACACGGTACCTAGTCACCGTGCGCATCGGGATGAGCTCGTTCTTCTTGTTAGGCACCACGGTCATCCCACCCTTTTTGGTTACCACCTGGGTGGGACTGATCCACTCGCTGTTGGAAATGGCGAAGATGATCCCCGCGTCCATCAACTTCACGATCTCCGCCCGAACCACAACCTCCAGGTTTGGTGTCAGTCTTCTTGGCGGCTGTCTCACTGGGCGCATCTCATCCTCTAGCAGAATCCGGTGGGAGCAGAAGGAGGGGTTGATCCCCCCGGATATCAGTGATCTTTCACGTTAGAGCTCGCTCGTACTGCTTCAGCAAGGCCACCAGTCTGACCTTCTGCTCGGGTGTGAGGGTCGAGCTGATGATGACTGGAAGCTTATTCCCCTCCCGAAGAAATGCATACTCCAAGTGAGGAGGGAAGGGCTTTAGCTCCAGCTGAGGTGGTTCCTCTAGGGAAGTAGTGATGCGCGGTGAGGATGAGATCGATTTGAACAGCCGGTCGCCTTCCACAAACGCGCCACTCTCCAGCGCGGCCAACTGGTCCTCCAAATGCAGCTCTTGCGATGCCTGCTCACCTAGCAAAATACAACGCTCAAGAGCATCGTTAGTACCCGCACTCGTTTTAGCGAGTAGGTCTCAAAATCAGCAAGCACATCACAGTAATCTAAGTCATCATGCAAATGGGAGTGTTTCCCATTCTCAGACACAGAAAAAGTAGCATGTTCATCCCCAGCACGCAAGATCAATTTACCACTATGCACACCAATAAGCGCCTTGGCGGTGGCGAGAAACGGTCTACCCAAAATCAAAGGCACATCCACATCCTCATTTATATCCAGGATAAGAAAATCAACAGGATATGTGAATGCACCCACATTAACAAGCAAATCCTTTATGATACCCCTAGGATGCACAATGGAGCGGTCAGCTAACTGAATGCTCATTCTAGTAGCTCTAGGTTCACCTAGCTCTAGCTTTTCAAACAATTTGTAGGGCATGACGTTAATACTAGCACCTAGGTCCGCTAAGGACTTTCCTACATGCATGTTGCCAATAACAAGAGGGATAGTAAAACTCCCTGGGTCTTTGCCCTTCTCGGGCAGCTTGTTCTGCAGGATAGCAGAACACTCCTCGCTCAGCATCACTGTCCAAAGATCCCCAAGTTTCTTCTTGTTGGTGAGGAGGTCCTTCATGAATTTAGCGTACTTGGGCATCTTCGATAGTGCCTCCACGAACGGCATGCTGATGTTAACCTGCTTTAACATTGCCATAAACTTGGCAAACTCAGTCTCCAGCTTGTCTTTGTGTAGGCGAGTGGGGAAGGGAAGCTGGGGTACATGCTCCTTAAACACTGCATGTGGCTTGGGAGCAGGTGCTTCTTTTTTCATCCCCACTTCTGCATCGTCAGCTGGAAGTGTTGAAGCAGGTAGTGGCTCGTCCTACCTAGTCTGGGCAGGAGCAGCAGATGTGGTCTTGCCACTCCTGGTAGTGATGGCATCCAGCTGCTGGTGAGGCTCGCGAGGATTCAGAATGGTGGTGGCAGGCGAAGTCCCCGGTGCTCCGGTGTTATTTTGGCAGGCAATGCCACCAATCTGGTTCTGGAGATCCTGCAGTATAACACCCTGGTTCCTTTGGCTTGCCTCCAGAGAAGTTATGTTCTGATCCATCCTCGCAAAGCTCGCCTGACTGGTGGTCATGAATGCCTGCAAAATATTTTTCAGCTCCGTCATCTGGGTGTCTGGAGCTGGAGCTGCTGGTGGTTGGGCATACTGGCATTGCAGCTTCTGGAATGGCTACCCCTGTCTGGGCTGGTACGGCTGCTGCTGTGGAGTGGGGCCCTGCCTGGCCTAGAAGGGCTGCCGCTGCTGAAAAACACCTGTTCGTGCTGGAAAACCAGGTGGTTTAGTAGTGTTGCTGGTATTCCAGGAGAAGTTGGGATGCGGGAGCCAGCCTTCATTATATGTACCACTGTAAGGGTTAAGGTGCCGAGCATTGGCGATGAAGTCCAACTGCTCCTGGGGTGTTGAAGACTCCCGCATAGCCTGGCATTCTTCCACCAGATGGTTCGAGCTCTCACACCACTGACATTGAACAACTGGAGGTCCGGCCAGACCTCTGCCCGGAATAAGACTGTTGGGCTGCTTCAATGTCTACACCAACTCGGCCACCTCTCTCTCTAGTCTGGACCTGGCCTCCATGGCGTGCACACCTTAATCACCCTCTGGCTTTCCGGAGAGAGAGCACTGTAGAAGTTCCCCACAGTGAATGCATCACTGAAGCCATGATGGGGACACTGCCAGAAAAATCCCGAGTACCGCTCCCATGCGTCACGAAGTGACTCATCTGGCTCTTGGCGGAAATGAGTGATCTCCCGCTGAATCTCTGTAATCTTCGATGCCGGATAGTACCTGTGCACGAACTTGTTGGCTAGATCGTCCCAAGAAGTAATGGACAATGGGGACTGGCTCTCCAACCACCTCTTCGCATGCCCCGCCAGAGAATGGGGAAAGAGGTGAAGGCGGATCGCATCATCGGGTACACCATTCATCTTGAACCAGTTCGTCAGCTGCAGGAACCGGGAAAGATGCACCCTTGCCTCCTCATCCTTCAAGCCATGAAACTGGATAGAGGATGTAATTAGTTAAATCCA